TATATATATATATATATATATATATATATATATATATATATATATATATATATATATATATGGATGTATGTATAATATGACTTAGTTAGTTGGTTCAAATGATAATATCCTTATTGTGAAAATATGAGAATAATACATTTTCAAACCATTGTGATGCATTTTACACTTGTAGTAGTGCATTTTTCGAAAAAAAATTAATTTATTTACAAAAGTGCCACTACAATTTTTTCAATTTTTCCGAATTTTTTATATTTAATAGTACTTATATCTTAAATCTAATGGATCATTCGTAAGCATTCTCATTTCTTTCACTATGCATCATTTTCATTTCAACTATATATATATATATGTGGGAAATAAAATTGTAATAATGTCAAGTTGGAGACTTGGAGCTAGTCTTGAGCCCCTGGGAACATATCATATGCAGGAATTTCTTAAAACGTGAAAAGTATATAAACAAAATTTATTTACAAAAAAAAAATGGAAGAGGGAGAAATAAACTAAAATGGATTGTATACCGAGTATTTATTTTTTTTAATAGAGAAAAGAAAAAAAGTGTAAAGTTACCTTTTTGACATTTAGAAACGAAAATTTTATAATTACTGAATATTTTGGCATCTTTATTACAAAAGTGGCAGAAATTGTTTTCTCCTCAAAGTCTTACCTTATATTCCTTCCGTCTTAAAATGATTTTTTCAGTCACTATTCACATGGACAAACTTTTATTACTTTCTTTATCTATTTTCATTAATTATTTGATAAAATAATGTAGTCATGACACCTCTTATTTTTTAGAATTTTTGATGTATTTTTAAAATGTATAATTTCTATTTTTTAATTTTACACCTATAATCAAATAAATTGAATTGAAAATAATTTTAGTAAAAAATCGTAAACTGAACTGGGAAGATCATTTTATGATAGAGCGAGTATATATTTATTACAATAGTGGAGTAGTATATATACATATCTGAAATGATATAATTGCATTATTTGCATGTTGAATTGAGGTAATTATTTGCTACCTACTATAAATATGAGGGTGATACATGATTTTTGAAGTACAAAGAAGTAATTTCCAAAAGAAGAAGATTAAATTTTTTCAAAAAATAACTAGTACGTGCATGAAAAATAGTTATAAACCCCCATATTTTTTAATAGATCATTATGGCTTTATTGATATATTGAGAAATATAACAAATGAATATAGACGTGAACTTTGTATACATTCATTTATTGTTTAATGCATCAAGAAAATATCTATCTAGATAAGTTTAAAATATGACGTTTATACCAAAATAAGATCTTGAATATTTTAATTTTACCTTTTAATATAGGAGCATTCACAGTGGCAATGTAGAACACTATACTCCGTAGTTTGACATTATGTGTTGTCATTGTGTTTGTTAGTATTATATGTTGACATTATACACCGGTATTAAAATATTAAAAGTCTTGTTTTAATTTGAAATATGAAATACGGAGTATATTTTGATACAAGTTAGTTATTTATCCTATAAAAAAGATCATAATGATTAGCTAAAAAAGAATAAAGAGAGTGTAAATTAAATTTAAAAAAATGAGTCACATCCCTGAGGGCCCCTCAAACCCGGCCGGATGGTCACTGAGAGGCATGCAGTAAATTGGACTTTGATCGCAGATTGGTAGCAAAAAGTGAAGCATGCACCTGGTACTTGCAGAGGCTCTATGCTTAATTAACATAGTTGCCTCACAGCACAGTTGCCAAAAATCGAACTCGAGCCTTACCACCTTAGCACTCCTTGTCGTGTCAACTGTGCAACGCTCACCGGCCGGCAAGAGTGTAAATTAAGTGATTGTATATGAAATTGATTAGATGATTTGAAAAAGATATTATGACATCCTTTTTCAATTACTTTTCTTCTAATCATTCATTTTATACTTAAATAATATTTAAATATATATATTCCGTGATTAAATGGAACTAAATTTCGTTGATCTACACCCCAAAGTTGGTATAGTAGTGAGATTTCTTTGTCATAGATAAAGTTTTTAAAGAATCGATGATGATATATGTTGAGTAGATAAGAATCATTGGACTGACTTTGTATGTAAAGACTGAAGAATTTTTTGCCCATGCATGAAAAAAACAAAAGATGAGATTATATATTTATATGAACACATTTCATATTAAATTTAATCCATTCGATTTCGTGGCCACTGGCTTACGGAGTCACTTCCGCTGCCACTGAGTTTTTAGAGTACCTCTGGTGGGAGTTAGGCGATAATAACTAGTGATGGATATCAGGTCTGATGAATCCGATTCCAGACCCAATAAAGGCCCATAATCGTACAAGGTAAACGAGTCCAGGTGCGCGTAACGGATCAGGCCCATCGAGGTGCATATGGGTAACGAGACGGGCGGCCCGATCATGAGTTGGATCGAGACGATCCAGTCCGAGGGAGGAACAGGACACGTGGCCCACGCTCCAAATCGTGGGGAAATGGAAAGAAATCAAGACCGGAAAGGAAGGGAATCGCAATCCCATGATCCCCATAAACCTTCCATAATGTTGTAACCATGACTGAGGAACTAGAAGTACTATAAAAGGAGGAAGAACCCGTCATTGTAAGGAGAGGGAGAAAAAAGGACAATTGATTACATACCCAATTAAAGATATTATTACGAGATCATATTTTCCTGATTCTTATTCCGTTCTTGGTCCGCCATCTGATCGGGTTAATCCCATCAACTAGCTATTCCAATTTTGCAAACGAAGCACCAGATGTGCTCTAAAAAGGCACTGGTAGTGGCTCCGTAAACGAGTGACTACAAAATCACACCGAAATTTAATGATGAAGTGATGTCAATTGTCAAACGGCATCAAATATTTCATAAAAAACAAAATCAAAATATCATAGACGGTCAACAACTGTGCAATGGTAACTTTGTCAAAATTAGGGTTAGAACTGCATGAATCGTCTCAGGGTAACTTTGTCAAAATCATCTCGGTGGGGCACGGGCTCCCAATTACCCTCGGCCCCTTGGCCCCGTCCCTGACAATGTCCACTCCTATCAATTTTTTATCCAGGTTAGGAGAAGGTATATTTATAGTCAACTTCATTCATCCATAAAAGTACTTTTAGGCAAACCTCACCATAAGTAATTAGACCTAGTTAGACATGACTCCAGCCTACTGGAACACGCCTCATGGCCTAGGCGGGTTGACCCGCCTATCAAACTCACAGGCTACCCACGGGTCTAGGCCCAATGAACATCAGATAAATATATTAGCCTAATTACATGTCATTATTTATCTCTCGGCCCATAAAAAGATGGACCCACGGGTGGCGTAAACGGTGGTTGATTTGGATCCCCTTCCCAACCCACACCCAGTCGAATTCCGGGGGTGGGGTAGGGGGGCCGTATTCCGCATTGATTCCGAGACCTTCACATCCCCTTCCAACCCACACCTAATTACCTTAACCGTGACCAAAATCTTAATTGGGCAAATGAAGTGTCCGGATCATGATCCATTCAAAGTGACTCTTTCCTTTCCTTAAAAAATTGAATGAATCTCATACGCGCCCAAACACATGGGGTTGATTTGGTCATCACACTCATTATGCCTAAATAATACTTATGCCTTCTAATTTCTTTTATCCCTTTGACTTTAACAAAGTTAAAAAACACTAGTATTAAATATTTATCTAGTTTTAAGTTTTCACAGTTAAAATTGATAAATTAGTCCCTAAGTAAATAAAATTTGCATTACATTTGATATAAAAATAATTTTATTAGATTTATTTTGTACAACATTTTTAATATATTATTTTATCTAGTCAATATATCATTTAATTCATGGTCAAATGTCAGAAATAGTTGATTGTAAGAAGTTAAAAGTAGACAATACATAGGAACGGAAGTAGTACGTAGTATTAACAAAGTTATAAAAAAGTGTATGATTAGAATATATTAAGAAAGTAAATAAATTTTGTGAGCCACATATTCATTACTAGTAACCATTCCTTTTTAAGTAATTAAATTGACGTTCTTTGTTCATTGAAAAAAGTAAACGAATGTGAATATACGGTATATCAAAATTTATTCATTTTTCAATTTTTCAAAAAAGTCATAATGATCAATTAAAGGAGATGAAAAGTATGAGCGTGAAATGAACTTTAAGACGTTTAAAATGAGACAATGAAAGGAATACGTGAGAATTGTGTTTTTAACCGTCTAAAAGGAGTGCGAAAAGAATAAGTGCGAAATTGATTTTAAAATGTGTGAACAGAGAAAGTGAAAAGAATACGTGAGAAATATGTTTTAAAACGTCTAAAACGGAAGTAATGGACTTTAAACAGTTAAAATTTATAAACTCTGACCTTGATTTGTACTCCATCCGTTCCACAAAACCTTTCTGGTTTTGACTCTGGGGAAAAATAAGGAAAGTGTAATTTTGGTTGACTTCCCAATTTTGCCCCTGATGTGATGGGAAAAAGTAAGATGTGATAGTTTGGTTATTAGTGAAAAAGTATGATGTGATAGGTAGGGTATAAAAAAGTAGGGGTAAAAGTGGTTTTTTAATACTCCGTAGAAAGTGGAAGTGTGTTGTGGAAAGCAAAAAAACGAAAGAGGAAGGGTTTTGTGGAACGGAGGGAGTATAAAACATGTATTTGATTATGGAGTATAACGTTCAACCATAAGTTCAAGATTCTCGTTGTAAGCCTAAATAAAGTTAGAGAATATATTCTAAAAGTTTTTAATGGTAAAAGTATCACAGTAATGAACGTAAAAAATCAAATAAAATATTTTTTTGGACGATGGAGTAGATCTGACACGGCTCGGGTTACAAAACGGTACCCAAACCGGAACCGGAACTTTGGGAGCGGGGTAGGTGGAATTGTGGAAGTGGAACCAGTACAAGAACCTTTTTTTTAAATTTTCTAGGCATTTAACTACTACATTCATATTAACTTTTTTTATATAAATAAGAATAATACTAGAGTCACAAATAAAATACGCACAAAATGCACAAACTTATCATTTGTGTAGTTTAGTTTTCATTTTTTTAATTATGTAAGACCATGATTTGAATCGTTACTTTACATATTCTAAGGTTGTGAATTTTGTGAATATTTTGTTTGTGACTCTAGCAATATAAATAATAAGTATATTTAAACAAATATTTTAGCCATATATACTATCATTATGCACTAAAAATTTAATTTTTACAACAAGGAAAATTAAAAAGATTCTAAACCCAATACCGAAACCGAAACAAGAATCATCAATTCTAGAACCGTTACTGGATCCAGAACCACTGATTCGAAACCGGCACAACTGGCCACCGGAAGCTGTACCGATTCCGGAACCGGTGGTTCTAGAACTGGAACGAGTCTATATGTATTTTTCCGTGATGGGTTATATTTTTTAGATAGGGGGAGTAAATTACTGAATTGACCCCACAGCCACACCATGTCCGCACGCTCGACCCACGGGGAAGGGGCTATATTTATTAAAGGAGAGTGGGCAGCAAAAACAATTAGATAACCCCCAAACACTTCTGCATTTCTTCTTCTTCTTCTTCATCCCACAAAATTTCTTCATCCATTTCCTCCCCAATTTAGCCCTTTCTTCTTCTTCTTCTTCTTCTTCGTTTCTTGAATCTTGTTTGTCCGTTCAATTTCTGCAAAAGAACCCACCTTATTTTTCCCTCTGCAAATATGCAACTCAGGAAAATGGATCCCATGGCCGCTTCTCGTACTGGCCGCCACCTGCAGAGGTATAATGTCCAAGGTTGCCGCCAAGTTGTTGGGTATGTAACATTTTCTTGACCCCTTTTTGTCCCCAAATTGTGCCGTTTTGGCCCGGAAGAATTCACAATTCCCAGAAGAAATTGTCAATTGTCGGGGCTAAAACCCAGACAATGATAGTTCTTTTCTTCCACACACACAAAAATTGTTTTTTTTTTCTTGAAAAGTTTCATCCAAATATTGTTAGAAATGAGATTCCATTGCATAATTTTCACCAAAACTCTCAGAAATTTTACATTTTTTTGCAATGATACTCTATGAGAATCTTTAGTTTACAGGGTATACCCAATTCTTGAGGCGTATGTGTGATCAATATACCATATAATTTTTCAATTAAAATATCTTTTTTTTTGGGAAGTATTGATTGGATATTTCAATAGGTTCTTTACAGGGAAAGGGACAGTAACGGGAGCATTAAAGAACTAATTAAAGGCTAAAAAGTTGATCCCATTGATTTGTATTAGCAATTGATAATAATCATAATAATGATTGGAGGAAAAAGATAAACAAAGAATTGACTTTTTCTTTGCCATGTATGCTCCAGCTGCATACCGTACAGGTACAGGAAAACCAAGCAATCCTCATCTTCCTCCTCCATTCATGGGACCTGCCCTGTTGATGATCTGGAATTCCTCCTTGTCAGCTCCCAGAAAAGTCCAAGGATGATGTTTCCCAAGGTCCTTCTTTCTTTCTTTCATTTTCCCTTTCTTTCTTTTGTTCATCATGAGTTGTCAAGCACTTTAACCCCAAAACTTCCTAGATTGTATATTGGGTTGTTATTATTATTGTTGTTGTGGTTTACTATAATGTGATGCTCCAATAAGAACCCCACACTTCTTTTGACACTGGATTTGAATGGCATAATATGACACTGGCACCATACGGTGTTTTTGACCCCTAAGTGGTTCCTCCACCCCCCCCCCCCCCGGC